TTCAGCGACAAATGATCGTTCGATTATATATATTAAGAAAATGTCAAAGTCCGACAATTTATTAAATACATTTTTATGTTTAACGTTCTTTTTTTTAGATATTTTAAGTAAATGCTCTGTTCATAAAAACTTAAATAAGGATTTACCAATGTCCGAAAATTTTTTATCGAAAATATTCATTCCTATAACTTATTGACGTGTCTTTGACATGAAACAGAATCAAATTGATTTACTGCTTAAAACAAATGAATCTCATACATTCAAAACTGCTCTTCGTATCAAATGTAAAACAAATTTTATATTATTTAAAATTATAAAAGTTTTTTAATTTATTAAATTATTTTTATAATGTTTTACATTCTTTTTATAGATGAAAATATACTTGTATCTATAAAAATCGTTAAACATAAAAAAAATGTCTTTAATAAATTGTCGGACTTTGTTTCATATATATATATATATATATATATATATATATATATAAATTAAATAAAAACAGACCACTTTAAGGTTCCATATAATAAATTATTTCACCACGGCCCTTTTAAAAGGACTGCGGATCATCAGACTTTATTTCCAAACAAAAAATGGAAAAGAAAATTTTATACATTTTTGACAATAAATATTAAACATATATAAATTAACAAAGTGGGGAAGTGAGGGGGAGAGAAATTATTATGAATAAGTTAGCAGATATTGACACATTTAAACGGTTAACTTAACGGAAGTTATATATTGATATCGAAGGGGTAGAGAAGAAAAAAAATATATAGAGAAAAAAGAGAAAAGGAAATTATGAGAAAAGCGTCACTAATTTTTTTTTTTAAAAAAAAAAAATAAAAACAGACGCTGTTATTTGTTTTACTTTGAAAGTCTTATTTTGGCGGTTCATAAAGATTATAATGTTTGATATAAATTATTAAACCATTTGCTCTAAATTTACATTGAGCTCTCTGGATTTTATCCTCCTTAGGTTTTACCCATACGGATTACCTTGTTTTTTCATGAACTAACTATATATATATATATATATATATATATATATATATATATATATATATAAATATATATATAAATATAAATAAATATAAATATAAATATGTATAATTATTTATAATATTTATATATTATATACGCAGTACTTATTAGAAAGCGCTCAATATCAGAGATAGAGCTAACATATTTGGTTGGATAGATGTGAGTTTGTGACCCTGGGTTTCCAAAACCCAGGGTCACAAACTCACATCTCTCCAATATATATATATATATATATATATATATATATATATATATATATATATATATATATATATATATTGGTATATACGCAATAAATTCCAATAACCAATAAATACTATTCTTAAAAAGCGTGCTCAATACAGAGTAGAGAAAATATAATTATTTATTCGAAAATTATAACATAAATATTTTATAAAACCACTACAAAATGGCTATTTTTGTAGTGATTTTTAAAATAAATAATTATATATATATATATATATATATATATATATATATATATATATATATTCTAAGGATATATATATATCAGCATGTTATGAGATTTGATTATAGTGGTGAAGGTTTTTTTTTTCGGGCCAAATAATCCATTTGACGTATGAACCGACAACCACCCTATACCAGCATTCAGATGTCCTTCTCCTGGACCAGATTTCCGATTATAGATGGAGAGAAGAAAAATTCATTTTATTAGCCAAGAAGGGCCAAATACAGAGACCTGGTTTCTTTACTATTATTACAACACGCTTCTGAAAAACTCATGTTTCCCAAACGACCCCATCTTTAAGCGAATTTCTTTTGAATTTCAGAGTTTACGTGTTTTAATAGATATTCATTATTGCCAAATCCAAGGCTATTTAAATACAGTCTGTCCTGCTCAATACCCAGATGGAATCAGATAATTGGGGTGTCTAAATTTAAAACGGAAGATGATTTCGCCTAGTCTCATTTTGTTTCCGAAGATTTATATTTTTTTTATTATATTTTTTCTGAAAGGAATATAAAAAAAGCAAATAAAATCGAACATTTGTTTTTGAATTCATAAAGGGTTATCTTTTTTGAACTTAAACTATTTATTAGGACTATGGATTTAAAAAATTATTTTATTGTTTGTTTCTATGCTAGTTATTCAATTCAAATATATATATATTACTGTGTATTTGGGCAGAAACCTTTCTTTCAAGTATCTAATCATTGAAAATGGCCGACAAGGAAGATTCAAGTGAACTTTTAATTTTTCCATTATTCGGACATTTTTTTTTCGTTTTTCAGGGGTAAAAAGAATTTGAGGAATTGTCCATAGTTATAATTGTCCCAACGGCTTTCGGCTATTTCAATAGCCATTATCCAGGATGTTGTTTTGGATGGTGAATTTTTGTCTGTGGCTACATAGTAGATTAACTATGTGGATTACGTGCGACGGTGGTTGTATGCAATTGGGGCGCTCACGTGCTATGAGCGGCCGGTTGAACTGGGCATCACTTCTATTTTTATAAAACTTTTAATACATCGTCTCCACTACTAAATAGTGTAAGATTGATAGCGGGTGAATGGAAAATAATAAGTAATGCCTCCCTAATGATGAGTTGTGTACGACTATCTGATATAAAAATAATTTTTGTGTTATCGACTAGAATATATACATATGTGTATGTGTGTATGGTCATATACACACACACACACACACGTGTGTATATATAAAAACAAAAGGATAAATTATTCTTTAACAATGCGTTTTGTCCTCTGATAGACTTTAACAAGGAAAATGTAAATACTTTTATATAATAATATGAAGCTCCTTCTAACTTAAAAAAAAAAAAATTCTCGGATATTAAGGCCGGTAAACAAAATAATAATAAATAACTGGAGCGACTACTCAAAAGTGATAAGATAGATAGATAACAACAGCGTGATAGATAGATAGATAGATAGATAGATAGATAACTAACTGTGCGATGGATAAGTTGTCATCTAACTTACGCAAAAATGGAAATATTACTGACATCTCATTTTATATATATAAATATTTAAAAGAAAAACAGACTACTTTAAGGTACAATTATAATAATTTATTTCACCAGAGTCCTTTTAAAAGGACGCCGGATCATCAGATAGCACTTCCAACAACAAATGAAACTAATAAATATATATAATATATATATATATATATATATATATATATATATAAATATATTTTTATGTTTAACGTTGTTATATCCAAATATGTCTTTTAATAAATAAATTATCGGAATGTCCATATAGATCCGACATAATGAAGAAAAATGGATATAGATTGGAAAAAATTTGGAAAAAACAAACAAAAAATCCTTAAATACAATTATGTTTGACAACGTTTAACGGAAAGCTGATCATTTTAAAAATTTTCAGTTATCTGTTTTGGATAAGACTTGTTTTTTATGTCCATCGTCTTTGTCAAATTGAACTGAATTGTATTTTAATGAATATTGTCCTGAAGAAGGTTTATTAAACCGAAACGTCAGACGTCGACATTTCATTCATTTTAAACAACATAATTGCATTTAAGGATTTTGTTTGTTTTTTCCAAATTTTTTTTATATATATATATATATATATATATATATATATATATATATATATATTTCTTTGGTGTTGCAAGGAGTAGTAGATATATACTGGGTGTTATTAATAAATCGATGTCTAAATTACGCAAAAATGAAAACAACACTGACATTTAATTTAAACAGATATATTTACCAAAATTATACAAGATTATCTTGAAATACTAAAGAGTAAATGTATTCAATAAAATCGCCACTGGCTTCAAACACGGCCTCCAGTTGAGGACAATAATCCGAATAATGAAAATAGTGTACATAATACCTCATCTCAGAAATAGATATACATCCTCTATGGTTTATTTAATGCTGAAATCTAAATATTTTAAACCCCATTTTATGGCTTCAGCTACAGATATTTTAAACGCAATTTTATTCTTTCAGGGCAAACGTATGTTTCTAGTTTTACATGTATAGATTGTAGATGATAAAAAGCAATGCTGGTTTATTTTATCTTAAATATATATATATATATATATATCGCTGGTAATTTCCCGACAAAAATGTATTTTTGATTATTCTACAAGAAAATGTATTGTTGGACACATTTAATACCTTTTGTTATTAATATACATTGTCGTTTGTTTTAAATTATGGTTTGTCGTTCTTTTTCCACCCGGACTCACATGAGTCCGCCAATATTGTTTGCGGGATAAAAGTTTCAGGAGGCCAGAAATATTTACTATAAAATGTCTTTTACACATCACAACCAAAGAGGTTATGTTGTCTTATTTTAAATTCAAACATACCACTATCCCTCAACAATCTTTTCTACAAATATCTTCACAGCAACTATCCTGATGATCTTTTTTTTCTCCCGGTGACAGGGTGACACGCATTTAAGCGTGCTCTGGGTTGGCAACTGGCTCTCACAGCTTTACTGTTGAACTAGCGAGATACAATCACAACTTCTACTTTTAGTATTTTTTTCTCGCAATTTCAACCTGTGGAAGTCCCTTCTGATTTCTTGCATCCCTGAAAACTACAATATTCCAAAATTTTATATCCGTTTATTTTCCTTTCCTCCATTCCACCCCCGACTAATATCTTCTCATTCTCTTTAACTCCCTATAACCCTTTACGTCCCGTTGGCCATAACGTCTTGCTTGGGGGCGTTTTTTGTAAAAAAAAAAAAAAAAAAAAAAAAACAAACTTGATTGAGATGTACGTAAATACCCGTTGAAAATTCCTCAAGACTCTTGTGAGTGATTATTGATAAAAAAAAAAAAAACATACTGAATTTCCAAACTAAAAATGCAGAAAAATATATTTGCTGAAAAAAAAAAAAGGTCGATGCTTGATAATCTGTAAAATTTTTAGAGGTTCCCATTTCAGAGTATTTCGTATTAAAGCAAGAAACACCGGAGTTCCAGAATTTTCGATATGGACTCATGCCAAGGAAGAGAACCATCCCTGAAAGGTCTGGGACGATTTTCGATTTTCACGAGAAAGGTCGAACGGTACAAAACAATGTAATAAACAAAGGAAGAATGCTCGCATACAGATCTAATCATTCTACAGAATTTTGATTAATTTTTTTTTACGTAAGCGCTGCTGAGAGGAGCACAGTTAGGGATTGTGGGATTGTTTCCGGTTTCCATTTATTCCATAGAATTCTTCAGTCCAAGATTTTGATAGCCATAAGAATTCTGCTAAAGAACTCGGGAGCATGAAAACTTAGATCCATTACTGAATTATATACAATTCCGTGAATGCCTATATCTATCTATCTATCTATCTATCTATCTATCTATCTCGCTGTTGATTATCTATCTCGATTTTGATAATCTATCAATCTATCTATATATCTCTGTTTTTTCTTTTTTCCTTTCTAAACTTATATCTATCTATCTATCTATCTATCTATCTATCTATCTATCTATCTATCTATCTATCTCACTGTTGATTATCTATCTATCTATCTATCTATCTATCTCGCTGTTGATTATCTATCTATCTATCTATCTATCTATCTATCTATCTATTTCGCTGTTGATTATCTATCTATCTATCTATCTATCTATCTATCTATCTATCTCGCTGTTGATTATCTATCTCGATTTTGATAATCTATCTATCTATCCATCTATCTATATATCTCTTCACAATCTATCATTCTATTCATTATCTAACTATATATCTATCTCGGTGTTGATTATCTATCTATCTATCTATCTATCTGATGTGGGGCCAAAGTTGGGGCCAGAGAAGGAAAACACGTAACACGGATTAGATGTAAGAAAGATATATTGACAACAGGTTACAGAGATAGTGTAAGCGGAGCTTATTATATGTTAGTGTCCAATACTGGTAGTCGTACGCGGCTCTCACTGTCTTTCTAACTCTCTATGTCTTTCTCTCTATCACTCTCTAGAGTGCTATGTCGCCTACTTAATACAGGCCTGGAAGAGTCTATTGTGTAGGTAGTTTCCGGTCTCACAATACTATCTATCTATCTATCTATCTATCTATCTATCTATCTATCTATCTATCTATCTATCTATCCGACTTCCTTCAATATCTATCTATCTATCTATCTATCTATCTATCTATCTAATTGTTGATTATCTATCTTTCTTAGCCCTTTCACCGTTATTTTTAATGGATACTTCTATTTAAAAAGACGCTCGGTTTATTAATTCATTTAGTAATAAAATTCTTTTAAATAGGAATAGAATTAAGGGTTTTAAGTTTTTAATCCGAGACATTTTTATAATAATAAATGTTATTCTTAGTGGATACACGCATTTGAATAAACGCCTTGTTATATTATAAACGATATTTATGTCTTCTGTCTTGCACACTTGTGAAAAATGGACCCTATGGAAACTACCATCTGATGAGATGTCTTGTAGCTACTCAGTTACGAAGAAACCACAATCAAGCAAGATTCTTTTTATCGTAATATATATATATATATATATATATATATATATATATAGCAAGGTTCTATTTGTAGTAATGAAAATTGCCATATGTCCAATTCCAGTATTTGTCTATGTCACTGAAACATGAAAGAGAGTGAGAAAAAGATAAAAAAGAGAAGAAAGTACTTAATCCTCTCACATCACACTTCCCGTCTTTTAATTTGAATCCGTAATCCCAGATTCTCCTGAACACCTGCCAAACGTGCGGTTTGTGTTACCTCGATGATCTCGCTTTTCATTCGAACGTCATCGAGATAGACCACCGCAAAATCTAGACCATTTAACATCGTGTCCATGACTTGTTGAAAAATGGAAGGGGCGACCTTAACCCTGAACGGAAGTCTTAAAAATTTGTATAAACCCTTGTGGGTGTTTATGCAAACTAGCTTCGAGCATTCCTCGTCCACGGGTATTTGTAGATATGTGTCGCTTAAGTCGATCTTAGAGAAATATTCTCCTTCACTGAGCTTAGTGAATATCTCCTCTGGACCTGGAAGGGGATAATGGTGATCCATTAGGGCGCTGTTCAGCCCCGTAGAGAAGTCAGCATATACACGGATTTCTTTGCAATGTTTTTTTTTAAATATAAACTGTGGGCGATGCATATTTACTATATTCAACCTTTGCCAGAACTCCCATTTCCTCAAATCAATTCAACTTCTCGTCAATTTGATTAAACGAGGTAAACGTTATGTTTATTCTTAAAAACTGGGTTGACGTCTGGCTTTAACTCAAACTTGGCAGACATTTTTGTGCATTTTCCTAGTCCTCCAATGAAAACGTCGGGAATTTCTTTTTAAGTTCACCTTTCTCTGCTTCGTCAGTCTAATTTTCGACTTTTTGACATAATGAGTTAATAGGCATAAAGTAGAAACAGTTCTAACCAATCAGTCCTGAACAAATTAACCGTATTCTTCATAATATCCGCCTTTAGTTTTCAAGTTTTATCTTTGAATGACACGTTCGTTATAAGTTCAACAATAAACTTAATAGTGTCGCCAGTAACACTTTTATCTATTCGGTTCGTTCTTAACAAAGTCGACTTATCCACGTTTTTCGATGTTTAATAATTAATTATGGACAAGGTCAATGATCGGGAGGTCTTGAGGAGGCTGGAACCACTTCTTAAATTCTGTTGTTCCCAGGTCGATTCTGACCCGCCAAGGTTGCACCTGCTAGGGTACCAACTCTGGGCAAATATTTAGCCCCCCCCCCACCAAACTCGGGTCATATCACTATGAACGTATAAAAATATATATTTTTATAGTAAAAATACCAAGAATATATTTTGAAAAAAATATTACCAGCAATACATTTGACTCTCGACAAAAACCTTATAAAGAAAAACTTATAAAGAAAACATATTCAATTCATACGAACCTATCATAAATCTTGTCAGCATTAAATAAACCATTCAGCTTGGTATGTCGTAAAAGAAAATAAACCAAATCAAAGAATACATATTCTATTCATACGAACTTATCCTAAAAATCTTGTCGGCATTAAATAACCCATTGAGGTTGATAAAGAAAATAAACCAAATCAAAGCCGTAAAAATCAAAAATAAACCAAACCAATCTAAACCAAAGAATACATATTCTATTCATACGAACTTATCCTAAAAATCTTGTCGGCATTAAATAACCCATTGAGGTTGATATGCCGTAAAAGAAAATAAACCAAATCAAAGAATACATATTCTATTCATACGAACCTATCCTAAAAATCTTGTTGGCATTAAATAACCCATTGATGATGATATGCCGTAAAAGAAAATAAACCAAATCAAAGAATACATATTCTATTCATACGAATCTATCCTAAAAATCTTGTCGGCATTAAATAACCCATTGAGGTTGATATGCCTAAAACAAAATAAATCAAATCAAAGAATACATATTCTATTCATACGAATCTATCCTAAAAATCTTGTTGGCATTAAATAACACATTGTCGTTGATATGCCGTAAAAGAAAATAAACCAAATCAAAGAATACATATTCTATTTATACGAACCTATCCTAAAAATCTTGTCGGCATTAAATACGCCATTGAGTTTGATATGCCGGAAAGCAAAATAAACCAAATCTTCTGAAGTCTTTTCATTCTGTTTTACTCGAAGTAGCCCCTTGCGTCTTAGTGGCATTATCACCTTACATGTTTATTCAGTAATTGCCTTACTACTTTTCCTTTCTACCTTTTACGTTCCTTATACTTTTATATATTTTTTGTATCCTCATGATCTAACGGAAGCCGACGAAATAGACCGAAAGAAAAAAAAATAGAAACAAAAATTCTATTAATGAACAACGAATTTGAGATGGCGAACATTGCGATCTTGCGCTTTATTTGGAGTTAATTTGTTTGTCTTCTGACAGAAGACAAAGCAACAAAGTACATTAATCTGAATAATGGCCACTTCACCCTTCCAAGCTCAATCGATAAAGGAAACATAAATAGGACGTGTGTCGATACGCCTCCACAATATTATTCATACACTAGTTTGAACTCTTACAAATTACATAACTGTCAAGATATATTTTTTTTATTTATGTCTTATCCTAATTGCAATGCTAATATTAGACGTTTCCGTATAAAGAAACATTTGGCATTCATCGACCGAGCGGCTCGTAGTGCTGTCAATTGAAATTTATAAAATATTACCCTTAAAAGTATTTTTTTTAGGGAAAACAGGTTTCTCGACTGCAGTAGCTGTTATCGCTCGTTTCAATATTAATCGGGGCACCCTTTATAAAATTTTATTCAAAGAACAACTCATTTTAACAGATACATTTAAGAAAACTACGCAAAAATATCTTGAAATACTAGAGTAAATGTATTCAATAAAATCGCCATTGGCTCCAAATAACTTCGGAATCCACTGCAATTCTTCTGAACGGTCTCAGGATATAGAGAATATTGCTCAACTGCTTTCTCGAGAGCCTGTACTTTATAATGCTCCATAAGTTTTCTATAAATATTGAGGTCAGGAGGTTGGGGCAGCCATTTCATAACACTCACCTGCTTCTCATCAAAGTATTCCTTCATCAATTTTGGTTTTGTGACAGGGAGCATTATCCTGCATAAAAATGAGCTTGGTGGGGTCGATTTTCACCCTTTCAAATTCGGGAGAAGACAAGACTCTAAAATTCCTTGTACAGCTCGCTCCTGAGGGTCTTTTTCAATAGGTTTTAAGAAACCAGTTCCATGAAAATAAAAAAAATCCCCAGAACATTATACTGAACGGATGCTTGACAGTAAAACTATAAATTCAAAGAAGCTTTCAAAGCTTCTTCTTCGGATTTTAGATCGCTTATCCTTTGAATTTAGCTCAACTTTCGTTTCATCGGAGAAGAGAAATATTTAGTTAAAAAAATCTAAATCAATTTTATCAAACAACAATATATATTTATATATATATATATAATGTATATATATATATATATATATATATATATTCCTCATAAAGCAGCACGACTCAGAGTTGATGCAAACCAATCATTTCATTTATGCTGATTGTAGATTGTGTTGTAAGTTGAATCTCCGAGTCGTAATACCTGTGAGGAATATGTATATTTATTAATATATACTTAATAAACCACTAATACACTATATATATATATATATATATATATATATATATATATATATATATATATTTTCTGATTTAATATCAATGATTTATTATTAAACCAAAACACTTCTCAGTTAACTCACTACTACACAAGTAAAATTTTGTTTAGACAGACTTGATAGAAAAAAATGTAAATGAATAGATTCAAATGTAACCTAGTCTATGTAGCGACACAACCAAGCGCTATTTATTGTAAAATTTCTTTAAACTTTAATAACTCAAAATGAAGGATATTTGGACTTATGTCTATACGGACATTTGCCCTTGTTTGGGTGTGAGAAACCCGACCCTTAATTTTTTAAAAAATTTTTTTATACATATATGTATTTTTTGTTATTTTGATGCACTATACTTTATTATATATATATATATATATATATATATATATATAATATATATATATATATATATATATATATGAATGAAAATTTGGAAAATCAATATCCTTAGGAATTTTGTAAGTGAATAAATTTTTGTTTTATTGATTTTTTGAAAATATTTTTAAAAAAAAAGAATATTATTATTTTTTAAAAACCAACCTCCAAAAAATATGCTGTACATTATTTGTCTCAAGTTTCCAACAACATTTTTAAAATTCAATTAATCCTTTAAATTACATTACATTCAAAAAATTAAAAAGGCATGAATCCATCTTCAATATTCAATTTTTCTTTGGTTGAAAAAAAATTTCAACAAAAAAATGAAAAAAACTTCCAACAAAAATTTTTATCATTGAAGATGGAACGGAGCCCTTTTCAAAATTTCAAAAATTATAATTTAAAATTATTTCATTTTTTAAATTGTTTTGAAAACATGAGACCTCTAATGAATCGATTTGGAATAAATATTTTTAAAAAATAATATATATATATATATATATATATATATATATATATATATATATATATATATATATATATATATAAAAAGAAATAAGAGAGGTGCCGCAAACGTTTTTGGTTGTATAATGTGGATTTATTTAGAAAAAAATTATGC